GGTGCAGCCACTGTGGAAAATAATATGGAGTTTCCTTAAAAAAATTAAAAATGAAACTGCATTATGACGTAGTGATTCCAGTTCTGGGAATGTATCAGAAGAAACCTGAAACACCGATTTGAAAGAATATATGCACCCCTATGTTCATTGCAGTGTTATTTATAATAGCTAAGATTTGGAAGTAGTCCAAGTGCCCATCAGTAGATGAGTGGATAAAAAAGCTGTGGTATATTTACACAGTGGAATACTACTCAGTTGTAAAAAAGAAGGAAATCTTATCTTTTGCAACAGCATGGATGAACCTGGAGAGTATTATGCTAAGTGAAATAAGCCAGTCAGAGAAAGACAAATACCATATGATTTCACTTATATGTAGAGTCTAATGAACAAAAAAAACAAAATAGAAAAAGACTCAGATACAGAGAACAGAATGACAGCTGTCAGAGAGGAGGGGGGTTGGAGTGCTGAGTGAAAAAGGTGAAGTTACTAGGTAAAAACAAAAAAACCCTCATAAAAACAGACAACAGTATAGTGGTTACCAGAAGGAAAGGGGGGGGGGAGGTGGAGGATATGGGGGGATAAATGGTGACGGAAGGAGACTTGACTTTGAGTAGTGAACACAGTATAATATCCAGATGATGTGTTACAGAATTGTACACCTGAACCTATATAATTTTACTAAACAATGTCACCCAATAAATTCAATTAAAAAAAAGGGGCACTCAGTCTGGTATTTTGTTATGGCAGCCCAGGCAGAATAATACACTCAGCAATAAAAAAGAAAAAAAAGAAAAAAAAGAAAAAAAGAAGAAAAAAAAGGAGCCACTATATGTCAACATGATGAATCTAAATAACACTGTGCTGAATAAAAGAAGCCTTGAACAAAAGAACAGATCCTGTATGTTTTCATTTTCAGGAAATTCTAGAATAGGCAAAACTAACTGAGGAGGGGAACATCAGAATCGTGGCACCTCTGGGATAAGGAGTGTGGGATGGTGATTGATGGGGAGGTGACATGAAAGAGTTCTGGGGTGACTGTAATGCTCTTTATCCTGTAGGGATTTGTGTTAAGGAATTACATGAGCCCGGCCGGGCATGGCTCAGCGGTTGAGCGTCAACCTAGGATCTAGGCGATCGGGGTTCGATTCCAGGTCAGGGCATATGCTTGGGTTGTGGGCTCGATCAATGACTCTCTCATCATTGATGTTTCTATCTCTCTCTCTCCCTCTCCTTTCCTCTCTCTGAAATCAATAAAGATATTTAAAAAAAAAAAAAAAGGAATTACATGAATTTGACAAAACTCACTGAATGGTAAATTTGATATTTGTGCATTTTATTGTATGTTTAACTACCTCAAAAGGACAAAAAAAAGATCTTTAAATATTGAACTTTTGTTAATGATATGCATGTTGAAGTGTCTGGGGGGAGTGTATACTGATTTTGCAAATTACTTCGAAATGTGTCAAAAATAAGATGACTGATGTATGGATAGTGTGTCTGAACACTGTTCATAAGTTTTGGGCTTTGAGGACACTGAGGGTGAGGACTTGTAGAAAGTGAGAAAATCTTTGAAAACTACAGGAGAGAGAATCTTCGTTATGTAGTGGTAGAGAGTTTAGCAATACTGTTGCTTGCAGTTGTGCGAAAAACAGAAATGTGTCAAATGGGTCACCTAGTGAAGAAGATCCCATATGTTGAAGGTGTCACCTGAGCTCTTGTGGCTTAGAGTAAAGTGCAAAAGGAGGGGATACAATGGAGAGAAGAACTATTCGAGAGTCCAGAGTATGGCTGCAAACCTGTCTGTTAAGGCCTCACACCTCAGAGTATCATTTGGTCACATAAGGGCTCTGTAAAGAAAGTACAGGACTGCCTCACAGATTTTCATGTTTCTAGGAAGTTTAAGGAGTGTTCCTCCTCAACTGCCTCGGCAGGGGACCAAGGCAGGAAAGAGTCTATCTGGAAGAGATCTGTGGTTGTGCCAGTGGCAATGTTGTGAGGCAGGCCTGTGGGGAAGCTCACTCGGTGAGGGACTGAGGCCTGCCAGCTAGGAGGTTAGACCCCCAATCCCACCCACAGCTTTACTGGCACCTGATGAGAGATGCAGAGCCAGAGGGATGCCTGTGAGATAACAGTAACTATGAGGTAAAGAATTTTTTATGTTTTTTAAAAAAGCTATACTAACTTTTGGGTCAATTTGTTATACAGCACTAGATCAATATAAAGAGGACTGAGACACTGGCATGGCAAGGAAGAAGGTAAACAAGAGAGTGGATAGGACATAGTTTTTTCACTTAAAATCATCTTTTCACTTAAAATCATCAAGAGTAATCTTAAAGATAGAGTGGGAGAGGTATGAAATGATCAATGCTGGAATAAGGAAATAGTAAGGAAACACGATGGTAGAGAAAGGTGAATAAGGGGGAAAGGTTTAAGTACTCTTGTTGAAGACTCCTTTATGAACCAAGGAGATAAGCAAAAGGCTAGCTTAAGAAAAAAGAGTCCAGTGTGGCCTCTGAGGGGGAGAGGATGGGTCATGGAACCACTGAAAGGCTACTGACATCATGGAGGCATCAATGAAAAGTCACGAAATCCCTCCTACGAGATTATATTCCTTAAGGGAACCATAATTACAAAGTCACTAGGGCTGGCTCTGAAATGACTGAGGTTGAAGAGGGAAGAGGGTGATGCAATCTCTAGGAGTAGGGGAATTCATCATTTATTTTGGAAGCAATATCTGGAAAAAAAAAAAAGAACTGTTGGCAAATCTTTATACTTACATTATTAAGGAGGCCAAGGATGATTATTTAGATGTGAAACGGTTGCTAGAGATGATGTAGTTGCATGGGTAAAAAACTTTTACAAAGTTATAAATCTGGGGCTTGAAATAATGCACAGATCAGAGGCGTGGACGCAGTAATGCAAATGTGAGGCCAGCTATATGGCACAGGAGGGAACACTATCTAACCCGACAGACACTCACCTGGTGAAATTAGAGCCCAAGTATATATTACAGTTGGCAGTATAATGCCAGGCAGTTCCTAAGCAAGCACAACAAAACCCCAAGAATATAAAGAATAGCAAGGGGACTAAGCTAATTTTTAAAAACTTAAAAACTTAAATAGAGCATAAAATAATTTTTTTTTAAATCCATGAAAAAAATGTAATTACTATTAGCAAAGAAATATCCAGTCATGTCTTCCAAATTACACAATTGCCTAGCACTGTGCTAGGTACTGTAGTGAACACAAAAACCCTGGCCCCCAAGGTGCTTAACTAGTTGGAGACTCAAGCTCTTTGTGTGTAAACAAGCAGAGGAAGATTCAGGAAAGGACAGTCTGTCTGAGAAGAAGGTCGTCTGTGGGGTGGTGAGATGAGGGCCAGAGGGAGAAGGGCAGCCAGACAGGAGGAAGAGAGAGCCCAGCTCTGGATGTGCAGGTGGGGAAACCTTTCAAGGAGGGAGCTAGAGGAGGGACACTGGATCTCCAGGGTCCAAAAGACGGCTGCAGGCAGCAGCGTCAGGGGACTGATGACTCACATCTGGTACACAAAGGGTTGAGATGGAAAGAGTGGTGAGAAAACTGGAATACCGCTACAGTCACCCATTCCTTCATTTCAAAGACTGAGTGCCAATTCGGGGCAAGACTCTGTGCCAGGTGCTATGGAGATGCAGATAAATTCTGTCCTCGAGGTGTGCAGTCTGGTGGGGGAGACCAGGGAGCTAGATGGGTAACACTCATGAGGGAGAGGGGCCCAGGAGATTCCCTTGTAAATTCTCTGGCCAGGGAAATCAGGAGAGGCTTGGAGGAAGGGGTTATGGCATTTTGTCTATCTAGGACTTGAATTCTTTAAAGCAACTTGATAGTGAAAGAAATCAGAGCAAGAGGAAAGTAGAAAAAAATGGGCCATAAAATCTTAAGCTTTCATATTTTTTTTTCTTAGCAAAAAATAGCAATGGCATGCAATCAACAAAGCACATGAGGACACAGTGAATCAAATGTTCTCAAGTTGAAAGAGGAAGGACAAGTGGAAAGGGAAGAGGAAGCAGCAGCATCTTCAGGGCCTGCCTCACAGCCGCCCAAGTGGGCCAGGACCCCTGGAACCCATCTCTCTGTGCCTCAGGTAGTTTGTCAAATGGGGGGCCCTGTACTTCACAGGGCAGCTTCGAGAATTATGTGAGTCACAGTGTCTTGCCTATGTAAGTGCCCAATAAATAGCCTTTATTGTTGAAACCTGGGTTGCTGAAAAATAGGTGAATGCTCACAGAAATGAAGACTGTGTTGAACTGTGTCCTCTTCCACTTTACCCATTTCATAAGTTATATAAATGTCTAATCATGGGTTTGCACACCTCAAACTGATTTAATATCATATGTCAACTGTAATTTAAAAATAAAAAAATATTAAAAACAAAATAAAATGTTCATTGAAAAAAAAAATCACACATGGTAATCAATCAGGTTTGAGGGACACATAATGTGAAAAAGCTACCAATGGATGTGAGTGGGCAGTAGGAAGATTAAAAAGAAATAAAAGATCACAGGCCCAGGAACAAAGTTTATCACGAAGGCAGCAGGTCCTGTGATAAGAATCCACACGACGGGCATAATGCTGGGCAGCACGTGGCTCTGGGAGCCTGCTGGCTGCATGGTATGCAATCCCGCGTTGGTGTGTGTGGGGGGTAATCGTGAATATGTTTATGAAATCTGTCTCCTTTTTGGAACTGTACCTAAAAGAATAAGACTGGATATTTGGTGTGAATGTAATACAGAAATCTAAGACACCATTATTGTAAAATACATTTATATTATAAAAAATATTAGGGGGAAAGTAGGCCTTGCTTGTTTACAATTAATGAAGCATGGCTTTTTCAAAGGCAGAGAAGGTAAAAGCTTCCCTGAAATCCGACCAACAGCTGATGTTAGGGCACAGAGAATACCGCAGAGGGTAGAAGAGGGTGACTGCAGAACCCAACAGTTGCTACTGTCCCGCAGTGACCGTCACCTGCTTGGTTTTCTTTGACTGGACAGGAACTGGAGCTGTCTCCTGCTGCGTCATTTCTACGTCTCCTCCTCCTTCACCATCTGATGCTTCTAGAAAATATAAAGTTTAAAAATTAGAAAAGCCTCTGCACCTCCCCCCAGGTGCTACCACTGCTAGTACAATCTTGGTGTACCACCTTTCTTGAAGGGTCTTTCCCTTGACTTAGCAATTCCACATCTAGGAAGATGCAGTTAAGGAAATGATCCCAAATGAAGATAGAGATCTCAGCACCAAGATGGCAGTCTTACTTATAAAGTTGCAAAACTAAAGATTATCCAGATGTCCAACATTAGAGGATGTTTAATTATGCAACACTCACACTCATACTGATTTTACAGATGTTAAATTCTTCATTTTCAGATAAAAAAACTGCTACTGCTTAGAGGGGATTACAGGTCATGAAAAATTCTTATTTTGAATTTTTAAAATCTTTCGACAATAGAAAAGATAAATTCTTACTCTAAGAATCAGGAAAAATAACTTTTAACATTTTTTCTGTTTATAAAGTTCTCCTGAAGAAACATGACAACCATAAAGTTTCTTACTTTCCATAATGCCACACAGTTTTTCAGATTATAGCAGTTGCTCTCTATAAACACATTTTTGAATCTTTGAAAGGCATTACTTGTTCCCTTTGAGGTTCTCTATATATCTCAAAGTCAGCCCAAAATATGAATTTGTGAGCAAACGCTAGTCAGAATTCAGATTCAGGTCCAAATTAACCCATCGGCAGTCTTGAGCTTTTAAATGTTTACATACCATGACAATTAATTTTGTGTCAACTTGAATGAGCCACAGGATGCCTAGATATTTGGTCAAACATTATTCTGGGTGTTTCTCAATGAGATTACGTTTGACTGGGTATACTGAATAAAACAGATTACTCTCCTTAATGTGGGCGGATCTCATATATCCAACCAGATGAAGGCCTGAATAGGCTGACTGACCCTCCTCTGAGTAAGAGAACGTTTCCTGCCTTTGGACTTAAACTGAAACATGGGCTCTTCCTGGATCTGCAGCATGTCAGGCCTCAGACTAGAACTATACCATCAGCTCTCCTGGGTCTCCAGCTTGCCAGTTCACCCTGCAGATCTTGGGACTTGTCAGCCTCCATAAATGCATGAGCCAATTCCTTATTTTATATCTATATCTATATCCATATCTAGATATATATACGGTATAGATGTATAGATATCTATCCCCTATTGGTTCTGTTTTTGTGGAGAACCCTGATTAATACACATACTTTCAACTGTGTAGCATGAAAAAAAGGCCTCTACCAAATGGAGTAGTAGCAGGTAGAGAATTAACAGGGAATTTTAATGAGTGACTAAGTTGCCATTAAAAGTATTTATAGAACTACTCCCTTTGGGAAGACAGTATTAGTAACTGTGTTTTTCCTCATTCCTCCTGCTATGTACAGCTAAAAACCCTGGACATTATATAGAAAACAAACATAGGAAGTCTCTGGAAGGTGGAGAGAAGACAGACTCCCTAGGGACTTTGGGGCCCAGTGAACAATGACCTCCTTGGGTTTTCTTTCTGCCTCATTATCTCAGTCTTGGAGCTTGAAGCAGCAACTTGAAAATGCCAATTTGGGATCAGACCAGAAAAAGCCCTAACAAATCTCTGCTCTATTCAACAAAATGAACAGGAAACAAGCAGCCTAGCAAGACTGAACTTTTAGACAGTAATCACTTGACTCCAGCCGACACCACAGAAAACTGTAGCCTGGTTCCCACTAGCAAACACTGAGTGGGGAGCCTAGATTTTCACACTTGCAAGGCTGTAATGAGGCCCCCTAACTCTTCCCCCACCTCCTACCAAGTGGGAATGGGCCGAAGGGATTTGCATCCCTGAAGAGTGGTAACAAACCTGTGTTCCCTCCTCTCATCACCAGAGCCCCTGTAGTATTAATGGAGACCACATGGTGAGCCTGGGATTCCTCCTGCTCCTGGCAGTAATGACCGCACTCCTCCCTCCCCAGTAGGATAGCATCAGAGGAGTCCTAGTAGAGAGTCAGGACTTCTCATACCACCCAATGGTACCAAGGTCACATCCACACTAGTCCTTTTAGCAATAGAAAGAGATATGCTCAAAAACACAGAGATAAAACAAAACAGAATACTAACTATGTCCAAGTAACACACAGGAAATCAGGAAAGAGAAAATAGAGAAACAAAACAGCAAACAAACAGAAAAAACACACACAAAATAATATGGCAGATTTAAACCTCAACTTATCTATAATTATAATAATGTAAATGGTCTAAACACACCAATTTAAAGGCAGAGATTGACCGAGTGGATTAAAAGAGATGACCTAACTATATGCTGGTGACAAGAAACTTACCTCAGATATAACAATACAGACAAGTTGAAAGCAAAATGATGGAAAAAATATAACATGCAAATATTAATTTAAAAAAGAGCAGGAGTGGCTATATTAATATCAGATAGACTTCAGAAAAAAAATAAGTAAACTTCAGAGTAAATAAAATGATCAGAGAAAGAGGACATTATGTAATGACAAAAGGGTGAATCTGCCAAGAAGACCCAGCAATCTTAAATGTGTATCTACCAAACAACAGAGCTGTAAAATATGGGAAGCAAAAACTGATAGAAATGAAAGAAGTAGACAAACTTAAGATTAAGTTGTAAACTTCAACAGTTCTCTCAAAAATTGAGAGAATGACTAGACAGACAATCAGCAAGGATACAGAAGAACTGAGTGACAACATTAACCAACAGGATCTGATCAACATTTGTAGAACATTCCACTCAACAAAGACAGAATATATATTCTTTTCAAGTGTTATGGAAGACTGAAAGCTTTTCCCTGTATAGGAGCAAGGTAAGGGTGTCTGCTCTAACCAACATTATTCAACATGGTGCTAGAACTTTAAACCAGTGCAATAAGACAAGAAGTGAAGTAAAAGGCATATGCATCAGAAAGGAAGACATCAAGCTACTCCTATTTGCAGATGGAATGATTGTTTACATAGAAACTCTCTCCTCAAAATGATATACAGGTTTAATACAATTTCTAACAAAATCCCAGCAAGATTTTCTCTAGATATATATAATTATTCTAAAATGTATGTAGAATGGCAAAGGAAATGGAACAGTGAAACAATTTTGGAAAAGAGTAATCAAGTGGGAGAAAATAGTTTATTCAATTTCAAGACATACATAGCTACAGAAAGAGAATATAGACCCCCAGAAAGAGACCCACACAAATATGCCCAACTGAATTTTGACAAATGTACAAAAGCAATTTAACGAAGGAAAGGTCCTTTCAACAAATCGGGGGAAAAATCCATAAGCAAAAAATTTACCCTTACCTAAGTTTACACGTTATACAAAAATTAACTTGAAATGGATCACAGACCTAAATGTAAAATGTAAAACTATAAAACCTCCAGGAAAAAAAATCCTTAGGATCTAGAGTTAGACAGAGTTCTTAATTTTGACACCAAAAGTACAATCAATAAAAGAAATAATTAATGTTAGACTTTATCCAAATTGAAAACTTTTGCTTTGAAAGAATCCTGTGGAGAGGATGGAAAAACAAGATACAGTGTGGAAAAAAGTTACAATCCACATATCTAACAAAGACAGACTAGTATCTAGATAGCTTTAAAAGATTCCCAGAATTCAACACTAGCAAAACAGACAATCAAATTGGAAAATGGCAGAAGACATGAACAGATACTTTGCTGAAGGGGATATACTATGGCAAATAAGTACATTAAAACATGTTGCACATCATTAAGCACTACGGAAATACAAATTAAAACTATGAGATGTTACTACAAACCTATCAACAGCTAACATTAAAAAAACAGCACCAGCACCAAATGGTGAGTGAGGGTGCAGGGAGACTGACTGTTCCTATACTGCAGTGGGAATGTAAAATGGTACAGCCACTTCCATCCCACAAATGGAAGATAGTTTAGCAGTTTCTTAGAAAAACTAAGCCTGTAACTACTAGATAATACAGCAATTATACTCCTGGGCATTTATCCCAGAGAAATGAAAGTATGTTTATACAACAGCCAGCATATAAATGTTTACAGCAGCTTTATTTATTATTTATAATAGCCTCAAAACTAGAAACAACCCAGATGACCTTCAATGGGTGGACGGTTAAGCAAACTGTGCTGTATGCATCCTGTGGAATACTAATCAGCAATAAAAAGAAATGAACTACTGATATTCCCAGAAATTAATCTCCTGAGAATTATGCTGAGTGAAAAAAGCCCATTCCAAAAGGTTACATATTGTGAGATTTCATTTAAATAACATTATTGAAATGACAAAATTATAGGAATGGAGAACAGAATAGTGGTTACACGGAGTCGAGGGGTTGGGGTTGGGAAGGAACTGGGTATGGCTAGGAAGGAGCAACAAGGAGGATTCTTGTTGGAATGGAAACGTTCTGTATCCTGACTCTATCTATGTCTACATTCTTGTTTTGATTTTGTCCTGTAGTTTCCCAAGTTGTTATCACTGAGGGAATCTGGGAAAGGGGACATGTGATCTCTCTGTATTGTTTTTAACAACTACATGTGAATCTACACTGATTTCAAAATAAAAAGTTTAATTAAAACAAAAGGCTTCTAAAGGAAATCCATCCTCTTGTTCAGGAAGCCCCAAATTATTATTCTGGAAGAGCTAAGAGGTGTGTGGTTGGCTGTGGACCAGACTAGAGCACCATCCTGTGGCTGGGGCACCCCTGTCACTGCAGTCCCGACGCAGACCCAGGAGGGCAGCTGGGTTCAGAGCACAGTCAACCCAGGGAGGCCACAATGGAGTCTTTAAAAAACAAAAAACAAAAGCAAAGGTGGGATAAAACATAGGACGCTGGATAAATTTGAATTTCATGGAAACACTGCGGTTATCAGTCTCAAATATTGCACGGGGAACATCTAAATTATTCACTGTTTATCAGAACTTCAAGTTTAACAGTGGTTGTGCATTTTTCCTTGCTAAATCTGGCAACCCTCCCTGGGGATTATCCTCCCCCAGAAAAGGCCACCTTTAGTCC